ACACACACACACAATCCACCGCCTCACTGCCCACATTTTGTGCAAGAAATTTATATCCATGCCTGGACCATTCTCCTTTCCAGTGGGCACTGCAGCCTGGCAAAGATCTCCACCGCAGGCCGGCAAATCGCCCCACCCCAAAAAAATTTAGCCACAACAGTCTTTTTTTTTTACCGCCACCACTGAGATTCGTCAGACATTTTTTTTCCCGTGCACGCATAGCCTCTGAAAATTTGTGCCTCACTGATTTGACAGCCCTCGCCTGTTCATGGCTCTCCAGACAATAAACGCTACATTGCAGTACCAAAATACCGATGGCTGCAATTGTGTTTGGAGGACGATACGAATGAATCAAGCCCCCATCGCACAAACAAAGAAACAGAGGGCCAAGATGCCGAGTTGGTAGTCACCCCTGGGAATAGGGCGTTGTATATACTATATATGTAGTGATGATCATAAAGCCACAACTTGACAAAGCATCTTTCTTATAACAGTGTACATACCACAATATCCCTGGTTGTCAATCCAGAGGACCGTGAATCAGCTCCGCTACGTATAATATCCATGCGGAATTCGCGAAGCCCAGCCTCCTGCTTGACATCACAAACAAAGCAACAAACCACAGTAACACACAGTTCAATCGTCAATAAACAAAGCAAGAGCGGAGTACCAACCAGCCTCCTCTTTCATCATGTGATGCAACATCTACGGGCATGTCTAAATCTACCGACTTGCATCGTTCCACAACTATGTAGATCTACTTTCTGAGCACTTATTCACAGCCAGCTGCTGAATCTTTCTTAGATTTGACAAAGACTTAGTGCCTCAAAAAAACTGCTGAGATAGTTCAAACCAGACGCTTCACAAGAACCATGGGCTTCATCCAAATTCACAGTCAACAACCTGTTACCAACATCAAGTGGCCCATCATCTAAACCACATTTAGAAGCCTTAACCTTTCGATAATGAGGCCGACTACTGATGCCAAGCCTCTGACAAGTCTGCTTGCCAGACATCGACTTGCTACAGCTTGCACTAAGTGTAGACGAAGAGTTTTCAAGTCTTCAGCCCTAGATGTAGACGAAGAGTTTTCAAGTCTTCAGCCCTAGAGTCCACACTGCTTTTGTAGTCATCTCGAATTCAGGCTTGTTTTTTTACCGAGTTACGTTAGACAACTTAAGAAAGCTGAAACGAAAAAAAGGTCGGCCAGAATGGAGATGGCTGCACCTCCTGCTCGGTCTCTTCCCTCTTGCTTTTCGATGTCCATACCTGGCCATAGCCTAGTCCCCCTCAGCTGACTCGGCATGGCGCCAGAGCAGGCACGTCTGCTTTCCCAAGAGCCAGGGCATACCAGACCAGGGCATTTGACAGCCAGCATGCTAGGTCTTGACTGGGTTCCACTGCAACAGAATTGCGTACAAGCTACAGTGACTATCGTCCAGCCTATTTTGTGTATACATTAGGGGGCCAGCCATAAATGGCAACTCCCTGCTCTCTACCTCTCCTTTATTGGGCTGTGGCGCTGGGACATCTGGAAGCCCCAGCATGAAACTGATGTGCCGCGCACTAGCTGCTCATGCCTGATGCACCTCTAGCGGAAAGCCCACATGCATGGTGCTTGTTGAAGAAAGGTCTAGGAGGGTCAGGAGGAAGTCTCACATAGGTCACAGTGGCTCTGGAGGAGCCATCTGAAGACCAAACTGCTTGCCGCTGCATTCCTGCACACTGCAACCACGCTAGTCAACATTCTGCTGGGATTTGATCTGTAGGCAGATAGGCCTACTAAGCCTATTCTGACCCACCCCTACTACAGCGAAAGAGGGATGCTTATGCCAGACTGGCAGAAGTACCAGCTGAACTGCTGCCATTATATCGTAGGTAAGAAATGTTGCTTTGCGCTGTGGTGTATAAACACACGCAGTGACGCCGTCCTCTGCATATAAGCTCAGTCACAGACACACATTGTTGGTTTGCACATAGGGTTTTAATGTTGCCACGGTTACTTTCCCCCCCAGTCGCGTCTGCACCAACGATGACACACCCAATCTCTCATTCAGGTCACGCACGCGTGAAACCACCACCCAGTCTAGACATTCGATCCGACAACGCCCATGGCCAACTGCAGAAAGTACTCAAGGTGACAAAAAGCTTCTACCACATCAACGACGACACACCCAATCTCTCACTCAGGTCACACACACGTCAGACCACCACCCAGTCTCTTTGCATGACTGAGAAATATCTACTTGGTATTCAGAATGCCGCAGACATGTATGTTAGAAGGCAAAGAAGCAGCCAGGTTGGGGCATAAATGAAAAAACTCTGCATCTTTCTGGAAGTCCTGCCACCAAAACCCTGCCTGACACCTGCGGTCTTCAATTTCTTTTTTGGGGGGACAACCGCAGGACCTACCACAGCTTCAGAAACAGGAGTGAGTAGAATCCACACCACCCACATCGGATCGTATGAGTGACTGGAACCTCATCCAGCTTCACTAATCAATGATGTGCACAAACAAATACAACAAGGGGGGTAAGGATTGGAAGGTTACATTCGTACCTTGATTCTATGCAGGGCTTGAGGTAGTCTTGCCATTCCATGCCATGTATATCTATTCTTGGCTTTGCGGACAACAACCTGTTGACAAGAAAAACACAGAACGGAGAACATCCATGAATTTGAAAGGGAGAGAGATGTGGCACAAAAAAAACCGTGCAATTGATCAGGGAAAAAAAAAAGGGTGGACATTTGACAGCAGCACAAGGCTGAACATTGTGCAAACTTCTCTTCGGCAGTGGTCAGCCAAGTTGAGCAACCTTCAGTACAAGTTCTATAGGTGAATGTGGGCAGCAGAACTGTGGGCTGTTCACAGGGGCAATACGTGATCCGTCTGGTCCACTCTAAAGTCAGCTTCACAGAAGTCCACAAAAGGCTATTCTTGAGCACTTCATCCACTCTCAACCTTATCCTATGGCCCCTCTTTTCAGTACTTTTGTTAGGCTTGCTTTGTGACATGTGCCTAATGCTCCACATTTGATGTCAAGACTCCTAGTATCAGTTCCCCAATAGCATCTACATGTTTCTTCCCTTTTTTTTTAAAGCATCTGACCTCCTGTTATGTACCACCGACCCCAAAGGTACTGGTTATTCTATGTGACCTTCTCAAAGTGGGGCCAGAGGGTCGCAGAGCCAAAGAAGCAAGTGGCCAGGGACGGAAATGAGAAACTCGTGGTGAAAAAGCTAGCAAAGGTGGCAGTAAAGTCAGGATCTCTGTTCATGGGCAATTCTTGTCCTGCTGCAGTAAGGCACTCCCAAAAGTTTTTGTCAAGCGACGGCACCTTCACTGTTGCTTAAAGCACCAGTACACAACACGTCGACCCGCAGGTGTCAGCATGAGGCCGCCAATTATTTTTTTCAACAACACCCCTGCCCGAGCGGCGCCTCCGAGTTTTGCGCGTGGCGACAAAAACTTCCTGCAAGGCTGGGGCCGTGTACTAGTGGTTTAAGAAAGAAAAATAGATAGGATAGCTCCAGAAGTAAGCTGCCTGCTAGAGACAACCGTCTTCACCCGAATCGAACGCCTGGTCATTATTGCCGTATATGGACTGAAAGTTACGCCAAATGCAGCTATAATGACCGGGCGTTCTATTCAGGTGAAGACGGTAGCAGTATGCTGGCAGGACAGGACCACAATGCTGTGGCGTGTTCCTTCTCTCATCTTGTTTGTGAAATTGCAAGTCAACTTGACCTCTTGTGTAGTCACCTCAACATTTCTCTCATCAATTATGCTGCATAGCCATCTCAACATTGCTGATGTTGAAAAACAAACAAGGCAAAAGGTGAACAGACATAGGAGAGAGAGAGGACATCCATCCACTCACACTCACGAACACTAACCTCCACACTTTCTAGAACATTGACAATGTCGTAGATTCTTCTTCTCTCTACACCTGTCCAAGGCAGTGGCAAAGACACACATGGGAGGGATATTGTTACATACTTCAATGAGTATGGGCAGAACCAAAGATCAACCAATGTAGGATGAGCATATATGCAGCGGAAGTCTGATAAACGGACTGACTCACATAGACTGACTCACACAGACTGACTCAAGAATCACTCCACACACATACAATCGTGAGATGGTGGGGTCTGGGCCAAGCATAGACGATGCCCAGACCTCGTACACGCATACACAGATGAGAGGTGGGAGGAGAGACGAAGGAGGTGGGGGAGGTAGACAGC